AAAGTGCTGCCTGACGGCTCAGAGAGCTAACACCTTCTCCCCAAACCCAAAAAATCCAATTAATGTATGTATCCTCCCAGCCCCACACCTGCCCACCCACAGCCCATCAATTAATTATGGTCCGCAGCCCCATAGCCGTTCCTGTGAAAATGGCATCAGATGCTCCCTGTCCTACCCAAAAACTCCTCTTGACTCATAAGGGGAGGATGGGAGAACCCTACCTGTGTCCTGCAGAAGGTCTGATTTGACTGCTTTTCCCACTACCCCACCTCTTGGAAAATACCAGCCAATCAGAGCTACAGAGCAGGGCTAGAAATCACACAAAGGCCGCGAGACTGATTCCAGCAGGGGCCAAAATGCTGTTATGGGAGTTGCCAGTTCTGGGTGTGTGCAGATTGTACCATCTCTTTGGATGGTGCAGCCTTCTTCTCAGGCTTGCATGGCAAAGAATCTGGCCATTTCCTCTCATTTTGTTTGACTTGCATTTTTCCTCCCATGAGTTTTAATGAAAAAGTTGTAAAAATAGTTTATAGGAGAGAGCAATACATAAAAGTGTGTGTGTGTGTGTGAGAGAGAGAGAGAGGGAAGATGGGTGAAGTGAACTAAAATTCATTTGAGCTCCACTTGGCCTGTCCTTCACTACACCCACAGATTATACCATCTACCTTGTGTTATTCTAATCCAGAGCTCTGCCCTACACTAAAAAACTGGCAGGTCTGTGCAATGAGCCATTCCCTTTGCAACCCACCCCCATGAATTTCTCCATTTCTCACTAAAAACTGGGAATAAGCCAGGTGGAAGTGGGTGCATCTCCAGCTGGGAATCCATTTCTTGCTCTGTTAGAGGGTGGCTTTTCCTATGGTATATCTTCTAGCAGCTGCTCCCCCAAACTCCCATTGATGTATTTTTTTATTTTAATTTCTTGTTTCTTGAGTCCGTCTATTCTCTGTAGATGCATTTTGAGCAGCAAAATAAGGGGACATGCTACAATTCCTTACACTTGAGAGATGAAGTAATAACAGGTGGCAAGACCAGAGGCAACCGGAGCTAGGATTCTGGTTGCTATGGAAACATGTCAGCCCTGCAGAGGGATGAGATCTGTCAGCAGTAGGGGGGCAAAGAGAGCAAGAGAAGCACAGTGGCACTTACCCTATAGGTTCAGATTATATATCATCGAGTTCTCCAAGGGAAAACTTGAAATACACAGGATGGGTTATTGGCTGGCTTTGAACTGAGCTGGCAGCCAAATGTTGGACGTAGATGTGAACGGTGGGGAACAGGTACAGGAGGGGAATCTGGGCCTAAGTCTGAGACAAAGAAGCTTGTAATATTTTCTAAGAAAAATCCGTTTTTTTTTCTTCATTGCAAAATATGGGCTTTCAGGATATGCTCCTCTAGGTATCCATTATGGAATATCTGGCCTCAAGTGGAAGCAAAAGGCCTGCTTCAAAGCCCTTTGAATTCAGTTGGAAGACTTCTAGTGATTTTTGTGAACTTTGGATCAACCTGAAAGTGAGTAGGGCAATAGAAGGAACTGCCATGCAGTGAAGATTATTACCCCTGTTTATTACGGCAGTGCTGAAAGGCCAGCCGAGAATGGGCCCCCACTCTGCCAGGCACTGTACAAACACTGAGTGGTTGATGGTCCCTGCCCTGAAGAGCTTACAGTGTAAATAGACAAGACAGACACAGGGTCGGGGAAGGGGTAGAACACACAGGCAGAGTGAACTCTGAGATGGCAGCAAATGGAGTGTTAGTTTCATTTATTTATTTGTTTATGTGCATGGGCGGCGGGTGAACCCCCGCACTGGGGAGGCTAGCCTGCTGGCTGCACCCCTTCTGCCCAAGGCCCGGCCCCCTGTGTGCCGGAGCCCCTATCCCCCCCTCGGCAACTGGAGGAGCCCTGCGGCCTGTCCACCTCAGCCACGCCGGGCTATCCCCCCCGACCCCGAGCACCAGTACAGTCCTAGCTACGCCGGGCTGAGTTGCCAACCCCCTCAAGCCGGCCACACTGGGCCGAGCTGGCCCCTGGACGGGACAGGTCCTGGCCCCTCCAAACGCCAGGCCGAGCTGCCGGCCCCCCCACCCCCAAGCTGGCCATGCTGGGCCAAGCCATCTCCCGGATGGGACGGGCCCCGACCCCACCAAGAACCAAGCCGAGCCACTGGCCTCTCCGGAGCTGCCTGCTTGGCCCGAGCCACACTGGGCCGGGCCAAGCCGCCAGCCTCCCCGCACCTGGCCAGCCCCAGCGCACGGCTGAGCGAGCCACTTCACTCCCCCGCCAGACCCTCCGGCCCACCGCTGGCTCGCCGCATTCCCTCCTCACTCCCCCACCCCTGAGGAAGAGGGACATGGCGAGCAGTGGCAGGCAGGCAGCAGCAGACAGTGGCAGCCTCGGGGCAGGGCCACTGTGGCCCAGGTGGCGGGTCAGCAGCAGCTGTGCCAGGGAAGGCTTAGCCTTCCCTTGCCTATTATACCTGCTACCTATGTTTATGTGGGTGCGTTAACTTAGGAGAAGATAAGATAAATGGAAAGAAAAAGGATGGGAAGGGGGTGGATAGAGCAGGAGTAAAGAGGGTAAGAAAGTCCCTTTTTAATGGCATCCATCTAATTGTAAGCAATTTGCTGTATTCATTTAAAGTAGCAAACACCAAAAACCCCAACCTAAAACAAACGCCTCCATCCTGATTCTCCACTCCCTTGCAACTTGTGTGGTTGTTGTGCAAAGTAGGTGCAAAACATTACCGAATGAGAATTCTCTACTCATTGCATGGTAGCATTTTACACGCAATTTGCATTCAAGTTGCACAAATATAAAGGACTACAACATGGTGCAAGGCAATGGAGAATTAGGCCTCTTCTTTGCAGTGTTGCCAGCCCCAAGCATTTAAAAATCATGAGTCAGGCCCCAAAAATTGAGATTGGCATAAAATCCATGAAATTTAAAAAATAAATATGGAGTTCTTTTTATTTGCCTTCTGGTTTATGAGCCTTTGTGGTTCACATTTTCAAGTACAGCTGAAACATTTCTAATTTTGAAATGCATAACAGGGACAAAAATTCTCTGTAACCATGAGGACTAGAAGCATTTTTTTTTGTTAAATAAAAGCTCAGATATTCATATGACTCCAGGAGTCACAGAGTTTCAGGCCAGAAGGGATCTCTACATCATATAGTCTGACTTTCTGTAGATCATGGGCCTCCAACACCACCGAGCACCCACACACTAAACTCAACAATGGACATGAGACAAAAGTAAATGAAACCTACAGCAGACTAGGCTGTTATGTGCCACAATGAGAGAATAGGTGGGACCGAGGTGCACCAGTGCTAGAAGCCCCCGTAATGACAGGGAAATGATTAAATGAGATATGCCCAGATTATCCCACCAAGTGACCCGCACCCACAAGCAGCAGAGAAAGGGGAAACTCTCCAAGGTCATTGACAATCTGACCTGGGGGAAATTCCCTCCCAATCCCAGATATGGCATTCAGTTAGACTCTGAGCATAGAACCATCCAGCCAAGTACCTGAGAGAGAGAGAATACTTAGTGCCATCTCAGACCTCTGGCCCATCCCACTCAGTGGCCCATCTCCAGTCATGACCATCCATGATGCTTCAGAGAAAGGAGATAAAAAAACCTCCCAGCATACATGGGGGGGGGGAATCCCTTCCTGACCCCCTCAGTGGCCAGTTGAAATCCTGAAGCATGAGCTTTAGGAAAATAAGACATAAACTGGAAGTGAGCCCCCTTTCTATTGAGTCCTGCCCCCTGCCATCACAAGCAACCCCATCATTCAATTGCACTCATACATTTGCCCAATTCTCTCTTAAAACTAACCAAGTTGTTTGCCCCTACAAGCTCAGGCTCTAAGAAAAACACAACCTTGTTTAGCCAAACCCAGCATTTTTTAAAATATGTTTTGAACTGGAACCCTATGGAATTTTAAGGTTAATTTGCCAGGATTTCTGAGGATGAGATCCTTTTCTTTTGGTTTTAAACCATGTGTTCAGTGGAGCCTTGGTCTTTTCTGCACAAAACCTCTCAGTGGTCTGACGAAAGGTGTCTTTTTCAACTGATTTAGTTAAACTGGTGCAAACCCTTATGTGGACACCCTTAAACCATTTTTAAAATGTCTTGTATTGATTTAGTTAAGTAGGTATAAATCTGTATTTAGACAAAGCCTTTGTTGAAAACACCGAGCCACATTTAATTGAAATGACAAACTGCACCTGATTTAGATACAGACCCGTGAATATGACTGAACAGACCTGTTCAGTCAACAGTTCATGAAACTTTTGGGAATCCTGGTGTGAGTTTGGTGTTTTGTGTCTTTACAATTTTTTTCTATTTTATTTCTCTTCCCTGGTTGCTGTGCAAAAGAAAAATGACAGAGAATACTGGCTAAGGCTCTGATTTTGCCTGTGGTTCCATTAGCAGAGATCCCATTTATTTGGGATTCTGTATGGACACAGGGATTGCTAGCAGTAGGTGACATTTACTGTATGCAAAGTGCTGCAAAAGGCACAAAGTACACAAGCTAAAGAAAGAGAGAATGCTTTTCCCCCTCTAATTTCTTTCTGTTATAGAAATCCTAAGAGTTATTTATAAAAATCAAATAAGTGTAGGTAAAAAATTTAGAGTAAGAAATGGAATGTTTAAGCTGACAGTGTTTCTTTAAAAGAAAAAAAAGTAAAACACTTATGATTGCTCAATATCAACACAACCTCTCCGCATGTTAAGGAAGAGCAGGACATTGCTCACCAGACTTGCCCATTTGAACAAGATGTTCAGAAGAGCCTCAGAGCTCTGTGCCTTGGTATGTAATGTACTTAAAATGAAAGTGATTTGTACAATTCGCTTGTCACCCTAATTGAAAATATTTGGGGAAGGCTATTGTCACCAAGGTCATCAAATTAATGTCACAGCGAAGAGGAGAAGGGAGAAATGTACATAGTGTGTGCTCTTTAAGTAAATATGATTTCTAACCTGCCTGCAGCCCAGAAAGGACCAGACGGGGCCATCATTCCCAACAACTACTGTGACTTCTGCCTTGGAGGCTCCAGTATGAACAAAAAAAGTGGCTGTCCAGAGGAGCTTGTGTCATGCTCAGACTGTGGACGCTCGGGTAGGTGACTTCTCCTTGCAACTTTCTAAGATGAACAATTTAGCGCGATTCCCTTTTTGCTCTTTCTGATGTTTTGGGGTAGTTGCTTATTGTTTGTGGGGAAGAATGGTTCTCAAAGTTTCTGTTCTGCTAATGGGCTAACGACAATTATGATATAATCTATGTATCTATCTATATAATGCTATATTGTATTTATTGGCTGCCATGAACATAAGTACTCATACTTGTTCTTATTTAAATGGAGGGAGAAAATCCTATGACAATGTTAAAGGATGGGCTCTGTCTTCAAATGCCGTAATTACAAATGTAAATTACTTTCAAGATTTATGAAAGTTGCATGACGAGCATTTCCATTGATTACACATTTCATGCATTTCTTCATCCAAAAAAGAAAGAGAGGGGAAATTACAGGGTAGGAATGGCAGTAGCTGTCAAGAATTATCCTCTTACAAGATGACTATCATTAATTTTGTTTAAAGAGGTTTTTATTTATCTGTTTTCTTCCTGTGTCTCTTTTTAAATTTAGGAAGTTGCATCTTTCCCCATCCTGAGCTGTCTTTATTTCTGGGTGGTTGGTTGCTTTTTCTTTTTGTCCCAGCTGAGCTGTTATTTTTGGCTGGGGGAGGGAATGGGGTCTTTAACAACAGCATATTCCATCCCCAATTCAAATTTCCCAATTGTTGTGATTTTTTGGAAAGGGGGGAGGAAGGCCATGGATTATAAGTGAAAACAAAAGAAAACTTTGAAATTTGAAACCTTCAAAATTGCTGCTACTTCTGCTCTTTATTCACTTGAAAGTGTTTGTTGTATAATTGCTGATATATAATGTAGAGTGTTCTGGTACTGAAATAACAGCCTGCTCATGCTCCCATTGAAATTAATATAAAAATTCCTATCAAATTCAAAGGGAGCAGGACTGGGCCCTAAATGACAAATGTCCTCTACCATTGTTCTGACCTTTGAAGACAATTACTTATCAGTGGACCAATGGCAACCCTTGGTCTTCTAAGGGCTTTGCTACAAGTGCTCTGCAAACACTAACATGAGTCTTTTTGTGCCTTTGTGTTTGCTTCATAATAAAGGAGAAGAAGCTTACACTGTCTGCACTGACATACTGGAAAATGATTCCCGTTTTCCCTTTTGCCTGGGATGTTATTTTCCAGTTTCACTTATTTCAACGTTGCCCCAATCTTACACAATGACAGGGATCCAAATGTTCTGTCACGTAGCTATTTGTTACAGTAATTTCATATTTGTCTTCAGAATATGACTGAGATACACTAGTTTGTTGGCTTCCTTGTTGTATTGCAAAGTAGATTATGAGGCCCCATGTATGTAGCTGTTGTATCCTATCTGTGGACAAGCCCCCCAAAACAATTCCATAAAACACTTTTTACAAATTCTCATCTGCCTGAGTCATTTACAAGGGTTCTCCATCTGTGTGATAGATGTGTGATGAGAATGCCTACGGTGGAACTATGCATAGATTTTTAAGCTATAATATTAATGACTGGTGGCTGCCATCATGACTTTTCTTGGTGATGAAAGACAAATGGAGGAGAGACCATGTGCATTCTTTTGTTTCTTTCCAGTATTCAGTCAGTCAAATCACATCCCTGTGAAGTGATTATTTTACTTACTGATTCTTTTATTATATTCATTTCCTTTTGGGGTACAGGATTTGATTCTAAGTCTGTTCCTTAGGAAATACAGTATAATTGCAACAGAGCTGCTTCCTTCAGCTTAAGGGACCAAGCAATTGGTGTATCATCATGTTAGTTAGTGCTTCTGAATAGCACCACAAACCTCCCCTACCAAACACGATGCTTTCATTTTCCTAGGGCTCAAGGGCCATATTTTCCCCTGCATTTCTTGAAGTGGGATTCTGACATCTGTACTGCAAATTACATATCACATTTGATTCAGAAAAAAGTTCAGTTTTACAGATTTCAGTATTTAACTTCTCTTTTTAACGTTTTGTTGTTGTTGTTGTTTGTTGCTCCTAATGTCTGTGCTGAGGATTTCTTACCCTATATGGAAAAAATGGACTGAAAGACTTTCTAAACTTTCGAGTTTAGACCAAAGCAGATCATTCTTTATTCTGGCAGTTTTAGCTGCTAGATGGTGTAGATTCATTTTTGTTTTTCAGAAGCGACTCCATAGAATTTCTAACATGGAATATATTAATTTAATGAATATTTAGTCTTTAAAATGTTTTTCACTTTGTCTTCAAAGGAGCTACTTTAGGGCAGGGACAGGAAGAGACAGGGATGAATTTTTTAAAAAACTCACCCCATGGCAATACTGATGAAATACCTAGTAAGTTGTCATTCTACAGCAGTAAATTCATGACAGTTGATGCCAATCTGAAGGACAATCATTGTGCTTAAATCTAACAGCTTCTAATTATTTATGTGGTCTAAAAGTCTTTTAAAACTGATCAAAGTAATCAAGAGAGAATAGTTTTAATGTCTCTTGAAGAGGGAAAACAACATTAACCCTTTCGCTGCCATACCTACGGGCATCTGTGTTATTGTAGGTTTTTTTCTTTAAAAGAGAAACCAACCCCTTTTTACCTTTTCTTACTGCTATTCTACTGTCCTATGTTGTTGTTGATTTGTGGGCACACACACACCTACCGGGTTTATAGTCTGCATTGTTTGATAATTATGATGATTTAAAAAATAATGATGATGCCTGTTGCTTAACCCATGTGCTGATATATTCATCATACATGTCAGCTCATTTGGGAAGAGAAGGCAGGAAGGAGGAAGCAGCGCCAGCACGCACTACGGAGGACTTGTTCGGTTCCACATCGGAAAGCGACACCTCGACCTTTCACGGCTTTGATGAGGATGATGCGGAAGAGCCTCTCTTGAGCCGAGGAGGCGGCCATGGTAGCAGCTCTCCCTCTACAAATAAAAAGGGTGGCTGCTAAAATAACTAAACAGACACAGAAACTCTTTGAGCGATTTTCTATCCTTTTTACTACTATGATTATTATTACAACTTTTTTTTTTTAAATTTTAGATCCTTTTTTTTCCCCTTTGGGTGTGTACACTGAAAGCACAAACGTATAAAACATAGACTACTTCAAAGAGACAGAAAGTTTTGATTCACTTTTTATTTTTTCATTTTAATTTGTTTCCTATATACACTCTTTTTTTCTTTCTTTTAATTTTAAATTTTTATTTATTTTTTTTTTTTTTTTAATAATGAGCAGAGTTGATTGTCTCATCTTTTAATATATATCAGCAAACCACAAAAAATACAAATGGGTTGGAGAGCAGAAACCCAACCCAACTAATTTTTTAATTATTATTATTATTATTATTTATATATTCTATATATTATTAGAAAAAAGACTTTTTAAGTACAAAATACAAAAAATAAAAAAGCAATGAACATCTACTTGATACTAGAACTGTTTCTAGAAAAACCACTGTGGGGTGGATTGTTTGAGATGACAATGAAGCCCTTGGTTTGATGACTTCTGCAATGTGAGATTTTGCACTTACTGTAGCGCGTGGAATTTGTGACTCCCCATCACGTGCTCCTCTACCACTCACCCGTAACAGCTTGAAAACACAAGCAGCTCTGAAGACCATGACATTGAGGAACACATTTCCATCATTCCTCTGGACACCTCTGCACTCGTAAGAGATCTCCTCCTCCTCCCCTCCAACCTTTTCATCTCTTCCTCACTCCGTGCGGCTTTTTTTCTCTTTTTTTTCCTCTTCTTCACCTTTCACCTCATGGAGAGCAATTTCCAAGCACGGGGATGGAATATAAATGGCAAGTCACAGACTCTGCAAAGACAAAACAGCTGGAGGAATGAATCATTGAAGAATTAAAAGGAAAAATACCTCACCTATATTTTTTTTTTCTTTTTTTTTTTTTAAATTCACACACACATTTTGTTGCCCAGATTTTTCTCTGTCTGTAGTGTCTTGTGAGGCACTTTGTGTTGTTTTTCAATAGCTTCTCTTGAAATAAACCAAAGCAATACTCACTAAAGTCCTGAGGGAAATGGAGAAGAGAGTGATTGCCTCCCAGCGCTGTCCCACGACCGAGGAGCCATGCGATAGATTTGAAAGGTATGTCCCAACAGAAATGTTGTTCAGCCACTGTGAACTCTTTGTGCTGTGGATTTTCAACAAACCATTTATTGTTTTATTATATCAGTAAGTCCTTTAAAGTAAACTGTGTGATTGTGTTATGTACAGCAGGCTAGATCCTGTTCCCTATTAATTTAATGGGAGTTTTGTAGGAGCAGGCTTTGGCCCAATACATATAACTAGGAATAAAGCTTACCCAAACATTAAGCATGTAGGTTCCACCCTGCAGTCCTAATGCAGGCAATGCTCTCATTGTAAGGACTGCAGGATTAGGGGTAAGGATATATTTTTGTCATTTTATAGTGCCAACGTAAACCATAAAGGTGAGATCCTGACCCCACTGAAGTCAATGACAACATTTCCATTGTCTTCAGTGGAGCCAGAGTTTCACGCCAAGAGGGAAGCTTGAGTGATGTGTTCATGTTCCCAGAACTCATGATAGAAACACATGCATGCACTGTAGACTTTGGGTTTGCATTGTTCTAGTTCTCGAGTAAATCATGTCCAAAAGGGGCTGGTTATTTCCATTACTCTCTTTCTTTTGCTGGGGCAGCACAGCACAGTTTGTAACAGGTATTTTATGGCTCCTTCAGCCTTTTTGCTACATTCCAGTGTTAAAATAAACTCTAATCCTTATTTTATTATTAGACATCTGGGTGTGATGCTTCTGTGCATCTTTATAGTTGACATCAGGAATGAAATAACTAATGGCCAGAATCTGCCATCAGATATGCAGGTGTAAATCTGGAGTGATGCCATTGACTTCTGGATTCCATTAAGAATCTGCCCTTAGAACTGTAGAAAACGATCCTGCATAAAATTACAAAATATATCTGTATTTTTATATATAGTAATATTAATGCATGTGTGACCCAAAGCAAG